TTTGCGGACCAGACAGAGCTGTCGGCGATTCTTCCTATTGTGAAGTCATGCAGTGTGAAACCCCCTGTCGCCGATTCATCGTGCAATGTGAACACAGCAGCAACTGAATGCTACCCCAGATAGTCACGCAGTGTGAAAACAACGGCGATCCGACGAGTTTGAAAATCGTGCAGTGTGAACTCGGCATTACTGATCTATCATGCAGCTCAAAGCATTATGGGGAGAATCTCTCGTCAATCAGAATCAGAATCAGAATTAGCTTTATTCGCCAAGTATGAGCAAACACACAAGGAATTTGTTGTACATACATGCATACATTCATACAGACATATATACATACATGAGAACAGAAAGAACAGAACATTTAATTAGTAAGACTAAACAATAAATAATAATAATAATGTATATAAATAAGACTTATGGATGGAGATGGCATGGGGAAAAAAATCTGTTTTTATGCCTAGATGTTCTAGTGCACAGAGATCTGTAGCGTCTGCCTGAAGGGAGCAGTCTGTGATGATGTTACCTGGCCATTTCTTCACTCTGGAGTTGTACAAGTCCTGAAGGTTGGGCAGGTGCACACCAATTATCCTTTCTGCTGTCTTCACAGTCCATTGCAGTCTTCTTTTATCTGATTTGCTTGCTGACCCAAACCAGACAGTTACAGAAGAGCACAGAACCGACTCAATAACAGCTGAATAAAACTGTGTCATCTGCACCTGTGGCAGGTTGAGCCTTTTTCACGATGGAGTCAATGTGAATGTTCCACTTCAGGCCCTGAGAGATGGTGGTGCCCAGGAACCTGAATGAATCCACTGCAGCCACAGTGCTGTCCATGATGGTGAGTGGTGGGAGAGCAGGGGTTTCTCCTGAAGTCTACTATCATCTCCACTGTTTTGAGGGCGTTCAGCTCCAGGTTGTTAAGACTGCACTAGACAGCCAGCTGTTCAACCTCTTGTCTGTAAGCAGACTCGTCTCCGTCCTGGATGAGGCCGATGACTGTGGTGTCATCTGCAAACTTCAGGAGTTTGACAGAGGGGTCAGTAGAGGGGCAGCCATTTGTGTAGAGGGAGAAGAGCAGTGGGGAGAGAACGCAGCCCTGAGGAGCCCCAGTGCTGATGGTTCAGGTGTTGGATGTGAGTTTGCCTCAGCCTCACTAGCTGCTGCCTGTCCCTCAGGAAGCTGGTGATCCACTGACAGATGGAGGTGCAGTCAGAGAGCTGTGTCAGTTTATTCAGAAGGGTATCTGGGATGATGGTGTTGAAAGCAGAGATGAAGTCCACAAACAGGATCCTTGCATTAGTCCCTGGTTTGTCCAGATGTTGGAGGATGTAGTGCAGTCCCATGTTGACTGCATCATCCACAGACCTGTTTGCTTGGTAAGCAAATTTCAGGGGGTCCAGTAAATGTCCAGTGATGTCATTGAACAAGAGCCTCTCAAATGACTTCATGACCACAGACGTAAAAGCAACAGGTCTGTAGTCATTAAGTCCTGTGATTTTTGGTTTCTTGGGTACAGGGATGATGGTGGAGCTTTTGAAGCAGGAGGGGACTTCACACAGCTACAGTGATCTGTTGAAGATCAATGTGAAGATGATAGCTGGACAGCACAGGCTTTGAGGCAAGCTGGAGAGACACTGTTCGGGCCTTTGGCTTTCCTTATCTTCTGTTTGCTGAAGACTTCGCGTACATCATCTTCACAGATCTTAAGTGCAGGTTGAGAAACAGTAGGGGGAGGGACAGGGAGGGTGTTGATGGCTGTGTTGTGAGACGGTCAGAGTGGGTGTGGGGTGTCAGACCAGGCTTTTGCTTTTCAAACCTGCAGTAGAATGCGTTCAGGTCTTCAGCCAGTTGTTGATTGGCCTCGGTGCTGGGGGATGGGGTCTTGTAGCTGGTGATGGCTTTCAGGCCATTCCACACTGATGTAGGGTCGTTGCTTGAAAGCTGTTTGTTTAGCTTTTCAGAGTAATTTTTCTTTGCTACTCAACAGAAACTGATGTAGGATGTCATGGTGTCAGTGAGCTCATCCAGAGCAGCAGCTGCAGCCTCAAAAACACTCCAATCATTGAGGTCGAAGCAGGCTTGTAAATCCCGCTCTGCTTCAGCAGTCCATCTCTTTACAGTTCTTACTACAGGTTTAGCAGATTTAAGTTTCTGCATGTAGGCTGGTAGAAGATGAACCAAACAGTGATCAGAGAGTCCCAGAGCTGCTCGGGGGACAGAGTGGTATGCATCCTTTAAAACAGTGTAGCAGTGAACTAGTATATTGCTGTCTCTGGTGGGGCATGTGATGTGCTGCCTGTATTTAGGCAGTTCGCGGGTGAGATTAGCTTTGTTAAAATCACTGAGAATGATAATGAAAGAGTCCGGGTAATGCTGCTCTGTGTGTGTGATCTGATCGGCCAACAGTTCTAGCGCCGCACTCACACACGCATCAGCAGGAATGTACGCACTCACCAGAATAAGTGAGGAAAACTCCCGCGGCAAACAAAAAAGCTTGGGCAGCACATCTTCTTTAAAACTGTGACGTCTGTACACCAGCATTTTCATTGACATAAAAACATAATCCACCGCCTCTTGTTTTCCCCGACAACTCAGTGACGTGGTCCGCTCTGAACAGCTGGAAGCCCGTTAGATGTAGCACGCTGTCCGGGTGTCTCCGTTCAGCCAGGTTTCCATGAAGCAAAGTGCATCAGAGTTTAAAAAGTCCTTGTTTGAGCGGGTGAGGAGTTGTAGTTCGTCTGATTTATTAGCTAGGGAGCGGAGATTCGCCAGGTGAATGCTCGGCAGCGGAGTCCTCAAACCGCGTTGTCTGAATTTCAGCATGCTTCCCTCGCTTGCGTCGCCTGGAGCACTTGTATAGGATCGCAGCTCCTCCGACAAAAATGTCCAGTAAAACATCTTGAATGGTCATACGTCGGCAAAAAGTTATTTGGTGTGTTATTTCTGATGTCCAGGAGTTTGTTTCTAGTAAAGCTAATCGGGAAAACGTTGCTTAAGACGGGACAAATAAACAAAAATAGTAAAAGTACCAAGGAGCAACAAACAAAGGCTGCCATGTTCGGCGCCACCTTGTTGGCAAAAAAAAACAAATCTATTCAATCTATTCTGATTCATCAACACAGTTTCACTGATGATTTATAACGAACATAAAACCCAGGATAGAGTGGCTGAGTGAATGTGGTCTGGACTGCGTGGATGAGGCTCATTGTGTCAGAGACGTTGTAGAAGGACAGAGTTCCTGCACTGTGATCCACAAACACTCCTATTCTACTGCTGATGGACTTCAAAGGGATACGAGTCCGTATGTTATTGTGTTTGAATGAGTAACTGGTGTGAGAGCAGATCAAACTCCAGGACTGATCATTATTTCCAAACAAACACTCTTTAACCCCGTCCCTTCCTGCTGATGCTCTTATATGACACTGATACATAAACACCATCATCTCCACTCCACTGCAGCTCCTAGTAACAGCGTCCACACACACTCTCTCTACACAACACCTGATCCCAATAATCAAATCTGTCTGGATGACGAGGATACGACTGGACTTTGTCAGTGTTAGTAATCACTCTGTTGCTCTCAGGCAGATGGAGGCATTTATTCACTGTGTTCAGATCCAGAGTGAGCTGATGGGAATCTGATGGAGATAAAACACATCAGAATCAAGAATTATGAATCTGTTTGATCTTTTCATGTAGCTAAACTCTTCATGTTCAGTGTATCATCAGTGTCTCAGTACAGATGACCAGATATCCTGTGCAAATCATCATTTACATCATCAATTATAAAACTCTTCTTTCACCTTCTACAGGAAGAACATGAACACACTCAGTGAGTTTTTTTGCTTGTTTTCTTGTTGACTTACATTGTAGGAAGTTATTCCTGGTCCAGAGAACAATGTTGGTGAATGTGACTGTGGAAATCAACAGACATAAACAGTGTGATTCTCATGATCCTGCATCCATTACTAAGACATTTCTAATATGATGTTCTCCATGATACGAGATGATGATGGACTCATTTCTGAGAGCAGATGAATCTCCAGGACTTTACCTCTGTCTGAGATCTTCTTGAGCTCCTCTTTGCAGAAATCCTCCAGTTTGTCTCTCAGCTGACAGATTCTCTCTGTGGAAATCAACAGACATGAACAGTGTGATTCTCATGATCCTGTATCTATTCCTAACACATTTCTAATATGATGTTCTGCATGATATGAGCTGATGATGGACTGGTTTCTGAGAGCAGATGAATCTCCAGGACTTTACCTCTGTCTGAGATCTTCTTGAGCTCCTCTTTGCAGAAATCCTGCAGTTTGTCTCTCAGCTGAAGGACAGATTCTCTCAGACCATCAGAAGAGAAGAGAGAAATGAAGGTATCGTCATTTATGTCTGTAGATTCAGGAGGTGCTGAGAGAGACTGGAAACTCTACAGAAAACAGAAATCAAAACTCATCAGCTACACACTTCACCCAATAACCTGCACCAACATCAGATTTGTGCAGCTCTTGTTGACTTGACTGATCTTTAGTAATTCACCTCAATCCAGCACTTTCACAGCATCAGCTTCATTCTTTTCATATTCATTATATCACATTAGAGCTACAGATTCTAGTATTTGCCACTTACACTCTATGTGAACTTTTTTTAGGAAATAGTTTGGAAGATAAAGCATCTGCTAAGAACATAAATGTCCATCTAACAGCTCAAACACATCAATGGAGTCTCATTGTAGGGTTGAGTAGATTTGCTCAGGAAAAGCAGCTCAAAGGCTATGATTAGATTGACCATTATTTATAACTTTAGAGTGGTTAGAGACACTGAAACTTCACAAGGACTATTAAGACATGCTCAGGTTTGGTTTGTGTATGCTGAATCATTGTTAATATACAGCCTGACTTCATGTTTGGGGTCTTCATGGTCAAATTCATGAATGTGTTACAGGCCAATAAAAATAAATTTTATCAGGTTTGAGGATCACCTGATGCAATTTTGATGAACGTTACTCAAAATCTGGACTATCAAGTACACTGATTTCACCATGACATAATAAATCAGAAGGAAAAATTAGGTAAAAAGCTGAAATGTTAGTGAAGTTTTGAACTGTTGGTGGCGCTAGTGGTGTTTGACAGCTAAATATATCTTCCAGAAGAAAGAGCT